TGTCCTGTGTGAACGCTCATGTGTACCTTTAAATTAGACTTCAAGTTAAATCTTTTCCCACAGACATCACAACCAAACGGTTTCTCCTCTGTGGATCCTCATGTGTCTCTTTAAACATAACTGTAAGGAAAATCTTTTTCCACAATCATCACAACTATAGGGTTTTTCTTGTGTGTGGGTTCTCATATGTGTTTTCAAATGTGACTTTATGCTAAATCTTTTCCCACAAACATCACAACCAAATGGTTTTTCACCTGTGTGAATTCTCATGTGTCTTTTTAAAGCTGACCTTTGGGAAAATCTTGTTTCACAATCATCACAATGAAATGGTTTTTCTCCTGTGTGAACTCTCATGTGTGTCTTTAAATGTGAGTTTAAGGTAAATCTTTTCCCACAGACATCACAACCAAAGGGTTTCTCTCCTGTGTGGCCTCTCATGTGTCTGTTTAAAGAGGCACTGAGGGAAAATCTTTTTCCACAATCCTCACAGCAAAATGGTTTCTCTCCTGTGTGAACTCGTGTGTGTTTCTTTAAATCTGAACTTGAATTAAATGTTTTCCCACAGAAATCACATGATAATGATTTCTCTCCTGTGTGGATTTTTGTGTGATTGTACAAAGATGACTTTAAGGAAAATCTTTTTCCACAAGAATCACAACCAAAGGGTTTTTCAGCAACATCAACTTTTGTGCTTTTGCTTAAATGCGATTTTTGATGAATGCCTTCATTTTCCGAGTCTGATAATTGTCTAAACTGAGATTCATGATGGTTCCAATCATCATCATCATCATTGTCCTCTTCATCCTCATCCTCCTCTTCCGTCTCTGAATTGCTCAAAGTTCCTCCAGCAGTATTTCTATCTGGGTTTCTGCTGGATTCTGCTGCTTCACTGATCTCCACCTCAATCTCTGCTTTTATCTGGTCGCCTGAGCTGCTGGTTGAAAGATCTCCATTTTCTGTCTGTCTGATGAAGCTGAGACAGCCCTGGTTTCTCTTCATCATCCTCACTATTTACATAAACAATATTTAATGGGAGTCTGGAATAATCCGGCTCGTCCTTCACTCTGAAGAGCTCCTCTTCCTGCCTGCAGCAAGTTTTATTGTTTTGCTCCTGCGTGTGGAGAGGATCCACGTCAGGACTCTGATCTCCTGGAGGCTCTTCCTTAACATCTGCAGACACCAAACACATCACATGCATGAAGAACAACTTCATCTTGACAAAGTTTCAGAGATGCCAATTATGAACATTAATAGCCGTTAAAAGCTCAGTAGTTGGTCTGTCTTAGATAATCAGATAAATAGAAACATAAAACAAACCATTTGAAGTTCAGACAGAAGAGACCAGATGCACTACACTGTTAGCTTCAGAGAAAACACACACACACACACACACACACACACACACACACACACACACACACACACACACACACACACACACACACACACACACACACACACACACACACATCCTTACTGCTGATCTGAGCTGCAGTCGATGGAAACCTGTCGTCCGTCTCCTCCTTCACTCTGAGCTGCTCTCCTTCCTGACTCACACAGAGTTCTTCCTCTTCCTCCTTTACCTGGAGGCGCAGCGCCTCCTGCTGGTCCATATCAGTACTCTGGTCTGCAGGAAAAACACAAATATTATGAACAACTTTTACTTCATGGTTCTCCGGCAGTAAAGACTCGAGTTAAAGAGGAGTAGTAAATGTTTCCCTTTCCAGTGAAGCAGATGGTTTGGGAAATTAGATGTTGCTAATTTGAATATAAAACTTATCTAGCAACATAATTTGTGTCACTATTAACATTCTTTCTGCACATTTTGAAGCATAACATCAGAAAACATTGAGGAGAAACTGCACAACTTGTAATAAACTAATGTAAAAGTTTCCACATTAGTTTGAGCTGGTTTTGATTTTTTCTGAAAACAGCCACCATGTGCTAAAGAGGAAATGGAAACAGGTTTACTGAACATGTCCCAACATAAAAAATGTTCCCACCCACTGCCTTACCAGAGGCACAAAACTCTGCAACTTTTTTATCTGTATGACTTGATGGTAATAAGTGCAGTGAACATTGTGGATGTATTAATATATAGTTTATAGCAGTTTAAAGCTCATTAAAGGATTTTCAAATCCCAAATGATGCAACATTTAACCCATGAAGGAAACCTTAGAGACCGTAGAGATGTTTGCTTCTCCTCCCAGCAGAGGGCGCCACTGGGATACAAACATGAAAGAGTGTTTTCAGGGTGCAGACTAACAATGTGGCTGTTTTTAATTAATTCTGTCAAGATTCAATAGTTTACAAATTATGTAATTTTTGGGTTATTTTCCGTCTTTTCCCCTAAATGACCAAAACTTCACATCAACTGAAGGGACATTAAACAGCATATGTACTTTAATCTGTCCTCACAGATGTCCATTACCAAATATAAACATTGTGTTCATCATTTTAGGTAATTTGACATAAATATGTTTTACAATGTTATTTTTGCAACTTTTTATTGAGCAAAAACACTGAAAGTATTGCTACTTTTACTTCTGTCCATGTAGACACATATAAATTTAATTACTATTCCGGATAATAAAAATGTAGTTCTGTCAAGTGAGAAATCCATTTTTGATATCTAAAATGCAATCGTGCAATTTCAGACGTCACCGATTTTATGCTAAATAGGCCTGCCATATTACATATCTTCTACCGTAATAAATCGACTACTAGCGCATCTGAATCTGCCTCCGCCGTGGCCTCATTTATCTCGGCCTCGATTGTTTCACCGCCGTCAGATGAAGCTTCTGTCGTTTGAACCTCTAAATTAGTGAGCAGAAACTCCTGCGGATGTTCCTCCATCCGCCATCTGGCTGAAAACGACCCTAAACCGGAACATGAAGAAGGAAACGCACCGACCTGATGCGAGCAGCAGGACTCTGCTCTGGAAAACGTCCTCCATCTTGTGACGTCTCTTCCTGCTTCCCTCCAGCTGAGCCTCAAACCGGAAACTGGTTTCCAGAGTTTATCATCATCGCCGTCACCATTATTATCATCATCATCATCTGCTGCTGCTGCTGCTCGCTTCCCACTGCTGACGGAACGAGAACAATGGCGGAAGAACCCTGAAGGAGCACGAGGGGGCGGGGCCAGCGGAACCGGAAAAACGGAACCAAAATTATGGTTCCGTTTCTACTCTTGTTTACAAACATTCCGTTCCAAAATTAATATTTAGTGAAACATTTGATTTGCACATGTAGCGTTTTAAAAGTTAAATAGCGACACGAGAGTTAAGATAAATGTTACAATGTCAACCATTTATTATGGTTGCAAAATAAATGGTTACAATGATATATATAGTCAATAATATTGAGAAAATTTTTGTCTGCTTTGCTTTTATGTAAATTTGGATTTTTATTGATATCAACATTTTTGTGGTTAGAAATGGCTGAAGTTACACATTTCTTATTGAAATACATGGAAGAAGGTGGTGCAGTGCTATGCCTCACCTCTGGGGGCGCTGTGTTACAGACAGGAAGTGCATGATCATTAATGTTTATTTAATATCGCAGGTGTTTTTCTTCTACTCTTTGAAAAGACTGGAAACAATATAAATAAAAAAATTAGAACATATTGTTGGAAAAGAAAAGAACCATTCAATGCCTCTTTCATCTTCTGCTTCCAGATTTTTAAAAACAAAATTGAGAAAAAAAACAAGGATTTGTCTTTTGTGTGTTTTTTTTACAGTGTTATATTGATGGATGATAAGTTTCATATGAAATAAAGAAATTCAACCAGAGAGGTCAACCACAGAAAACATTTCAATTTTAAGAAATCAAATAGTTTTCTTTCTATCATATTGTTGAATTGCATTAAATAATTAAAGCACAATAAAATGTCTTCATAAATTTAGGTCAAAACTGAAATATAATCTATATTGCATTAAAATGTTCAAATAAAATAAGAAAGGATTTCTGATTAATGACTAACATCAATAAAAATAAGCCACACACAGAAATGTGGGTCACATCAAAATCCTCAGGAAATATTATCAAATCGAACAAAAACAAAATCCTCAGAATCACCATTAGTTTTATTAACTCAGGCAGCAAAAAAAAGCTTTTTCAATCCAAAAAATATTTAGTGATACTTTTATTCAACAAACAGTGGAGAAAACAGTAAAACCAACAATACAGATGGATTGGAGAGTTTTAAACATCAATTGGGATTTACAATGACAATAAATTGTAATTCTTATGGTAAGAAATGAATCACAAAAATTATAGCAGATATCCCCAAACCCAATGTTCACATATATCTTTAGACTTGATTTTGAGGAAAACCTTTTTCCACAAACATCACAACTAAAAGTATATTTTAGCATTTCTGCTTCAAAGCGTCTTTCAGAGTCTTTCAGTTTCCACATCCATCCCAACCTGAAGGTTTCCATCTTTGTTCATTCTCAGCAGTTTGTTGAAAGATGACTTTACGGCAGATCTTTTCCCACAAAAAGATACGGTTGGTTCCATGTGGATCTTCATGTGTCTCTTTAAGCTGGACTTCAAGGCCAGTCTTTTTCCACAAATATCACAACTAAAGGGTCGTTCACCTTTGTGGCTTTTCATGTGTCTCTTTAAACTAGACTTTACATTAAATCTTTTTCCACATTCATCACAAGCAAAGGCTTTTTCATCCTTGTGGATTCTCATGTGTTCCTTCAAATTAGAATTTGTGCTAAATTTTAAACCACATTCATCACAACCAAAGGGTTTCTGTCCTGTGTGAACTCTCATGTGTACATTTAAATTAGACTTCAAGTTAAATCTTTTCCCACAGACGTCACAACCAAACGGTTTCTCTCCTGTGTGGATCCTCATGTGTCTCTTTAAACATAACTGTAAGGAAAATGTTTCTCCACAATCATCACAACTAAAGAGTTTTTCTTGTGTGTGGGTTCTCATATGTTTTTCCAAATATGAACTTAAGGTAAATCTTTCCCACAAACATCACAACCAAATGGTTTTTTTTCTGTGTGAATTCTCATGTGTCTGTTTAAAGAGGCACTGAGGGAAAATTTTTCCACAATCCTCACAGCAAAATGGTTTCTCTCCTGTGTGAACTCTCATGTGTTTCTTTAAATCTGAACTGGAGTGAAAAGTTTTTCCACAGAAATCACATGATTTCTCTCCTGTGTGGATTTTTACGTGATTGTTTAAAGAAGATTTTAAGGAAAATCTTTTCCCACAAAAATCACAACTAAAAGGTTCGTCAACAATGGGAATGTTTCCATGTTTGTCTAAATGTGATTTTTGATGATTGTCTTCAGTCTCAGACTCTGACAGTGGTTTACCCTGAGATTCATGATGGTTCCAATCATCATCATCATTGTCCTCTTCATCCTCATCCTCCTCTTCCGTCTCTGAATTGCTCAAAGTTCCTCCAGCAGTATTTCTATCTGGGTTTCTGCTGGATTCTGCTGCTTCACTGATCTCCACCTCAATCTCTGCTTTTATCTGGTCGCCTGAGCTGCTGGTTGAAAGATCTCCATTTTCTGTCTGGTGCTGATGAAGCTGAGACAGTCCTGGTTTCTCTTCATCATCCTCACTATTTACATAAACAATATTTAATGGGAGTCTGGAATAATCCGGCTCGTCCTTCACTCTGAACAGCTCCTCTTCCTGCCTGCAGCAGGTTTTATTGTTTTGCTCCTGCGTGTGAAGAGGATCCACGTCAGGACTCTGATCTCCTGGAGGCTCTTTCTTAACATCTGCAGACACCAAAACACATCACATGCATGAAGAACAACTTTTAGAAAAGTTTGTTTTAATTGAATGAGGAAGACAGAAATACATTTGGATTTAATTGCTATGATCAACACATTAATATAAGAAAACCCATTTCAAAAATGAAGAAATGTTTGATCATGTCTTCAGGTGATGGGGGCAGAAAGGTGGAGCTCTGCAACATCTGCACTTCAATTCACTTCCTTCCTGGTCAGTTAAACTCATTGATTTAGACTCTAACAAGTAGATTCAGAGAAATTTATCACATATTGTCTTTTGGTTCTGTTTCTCTGTGTACTTTCATTAAATGAGCCAAACAATTCTGACCAGACCCAAATTTCTGGTGAGGCTACAGAAATAAACTCAGGGAAAATGAGTCTTTTTAACAGTTCATTTGATGAAGCATTTCAAATGTTATTATGTGACTTAGAAGAAACAAAACTTTCTATCTCAGTTTGGACATAAATGGTTTTGGGTTCATTAATGTGTTTTAATGTCTTGGTGAATTAAGAGACATTAAGAACACACACATACACACACACATCCTTACTGCTGATCTGAGCTGCAGTCGATGGAAACCTGTCGTCCGTCTCCTCCTTCACTCTGAGCTGCTCTCCTTCCTGACTCACACAGAGTTCTTCGTCTTCCTCCTTTACCTGGAGGCGCAGCGCCTCCTGCTGGTCGACACCAGCCTCTTTCTTAACGTCTGCATAAAAACATGTTATAACCTTTGTGATCACCTTTGACTTCAGGTGATTCAAACATGACATAATGAGCGTTTTCAGAATCCACCAATTTATACTTTAATTATATTTTATGTATTCTGATAATAAAAGTAATATTTTAACATTAACAATATTATTAATATTATTAATGGTATTTACTTTTCCTTGAGTAAAACAGTTGAACTGCTACTTTATTTTATCCAAAGATAAGAATATATTTAGTTATTGTTCTAATTAGTCAGAATATAAATTATCCTTCCAGTCAATGTGTCTAATTACAAAGCATTTTTAGATATCTAATCTATGTAATTATTGATAATCAGAGGAAACAGATTGTTATTAAAATGGCTCCTCCGCCGTAATACACCGACTACTAGCGCATCTGAATCTGCCTCCGCCGTGGCCTCATGTATCTCGGCCTCGATTGTTTCACCGCCGTCAGATGAAGCTTCTGTCGTTGAACCTCTAAATTAGTGAGCAGAAAACTCCTGCGGATGTTCCTCCATCCGCCATCTGGCTGAAAACGACCCTAAACCGGAACATGAAGAAGGAAACGCACCGACCTGATGCGAGCAGCAGGACTCTGCTCTGGAAAACGTCCTCCATCTTGTGACGTCTCTTCCTGCTTCCCTCCAGCTGAGCCTCAAACCGGAAACTGGTTTCCAGAGTTTATCATCATCGCCATCACCATTATCATCATCATCATCATCATCTGCTGCTGCTCGCTTCCCACTGCTGACGGAACGAGAACAATGGCGGAAGAACCCTGAAGGAGCACGAGGGGGCGGGGCCAGCGGAACCGGAAGTCCGGAACCAAAATTATGGTTCCGTTTCTACTCTTGTTTACAAACATTTGGAGAAACATCTGAACATTAGGAAAACATTTATAGTTTTAACTTTTTGTTCCAGGAAGTTTGGATTTTATTTATATTAAAGTTTTTTTTAAACTTTTGAGAAAAAAAATTAATATCATTTGTGCAGAATAATAGATTTAGGGATTCATTCTGCTTGTAACTTCTGATTATATTTATGGACATAAAATGATAAAAAAACATTGAACTTCTACTTGTTGTTATTGTTGCATTAATATCCCAACATCACCAGATCGTTACAGCAAAGGTTTCATGGAGAACATTTAACTTTTCAATGTTCATAATAAAGTCCACTTTCTAAATTCTGAGGAATTGAACCCACAACCTTTTTAGCTGACATTTGTTGACATTAATCTGTTTATATTGAATATTAACTTTTCACTGGCCATCTTTAGGTTTGACTTCCTGCTTCCAAGGTTCAGTTCATGGTGATCATTTATTATACAATAAACTTTACCTTTATGCTGATGATATTCTGTGAATTTTAATTTTTATAGGACCAATTTCAAATGAATAAACATCTGTTAAAGTTAAAGATGGACTCAGAATGAATGATGATGATGCAGGACTTTGTTTTAAAGTGTAAGCGATGATTTGTAGTTACTGTCCTGAAGTAAGCAGGTCTTCATGAACTTTAGATGTTAAATAAAAAAACTAAAAACTTTTATAAACTTTGAATTTATTCTGCAGATCGTCTCAGGTTTTGTTCTCAGGTTCTGTTCTCAGCTGCGTCCAGGATGGACGTCACGCTGTCCTTGGCTTCCTGCAGCAGCTCAGAAACCCTCCTCTGCGTCTGAAGCAGAAACACAAACATCGTTTAGTGAAAACCATCAGAAGAAAGGTGAAAGGTCACCTGTGACTTACAGCCAGTCTGAAGGCTTCGTCTGAGACGTCTTTCAGGTTGATCATGACGTTGAAGTACGCTCCATAAACGGCCGTTTCCAGAGCTTTAGCTGCAACCTGGTGAACACAAACAGATTCTAGATCTGAGCAAAATTCATTCTGATTCAAACCTTCAGAGAAAAGCTGTTGCTCCAACTCTAACCTGAGCATCAGACATGCAGCCGATGTTCCCGAACAGAACCATCTGCTTCAGAGACGGCCACAGGACGCTGACCTTCTCAGCCAAAGCCAGCGGGACGCCGACGGCGCGCTTCAGGCCTTCCTGCATCGCCGCTTCTCTCCTGTAGGTGGAGACAAAACGCAGTCCAGAAAAAGCAGACAGACAAGCAGCTGAAGACTCAACATTCATCCAGACACGTGACCTGCTCCTGTCCTGGGCTGTGGACTTGGGCATCTTCAGCGCCACCTGAAACAGACATGATCACTTCTTAGGCAATGCACCACACAGCCTGTAGGTGTCTCTGTTGTTGAGTCATCTGGAGCATCAACAGGTGGCGCTGTCAGGTGGGAACTGCTGCTGCTCACCATGTAGCCGTTGAAGGCGCAGAGTCGGCGTCCACCAACCCCAGCAGTTCGTTCATGGCCTGATGGAACGGAGGAATCAGCTTCCTCATCACAAAGTCCAGGTTCTCAAACTGCCTCTTTCCGTACGTCATCTGCCCACCATGGCACCCAGTGCTGCCCCCTACAAGACGGGGCACACCTGGGATTAAAGGTGACCTGTTCTACTTCCTTCAACAGGTTAGGCTCTGTGGACTATACAAATCACGTTCATTATATTTTTTCACAAAATCAGTCTTAGATCCTCAGTTTTCACTCTGATCCAACTCAGCTTCACATTTACACATCAAAATGGCTGCAAAATGGATGTGCAGTTATGTAACGGAGCATATTCAAAAAGCAGAAGTGGAGCTCCTGCACAACCACCCAGAGCAGCTGGTCTCTGGGTATCAGATCAACAAGACTCCTGTCTTTTCCAGAAGCCAAGCCACAGAGTGGAACAGTGGAAACCCGCTAGAGCTAGTTTCCACTAGCTACAGCTAGTTTCCACTAGCTGTAGCTAGTTTCCACTAGCTCTAGCTAGTTTCCACTAGCTACAGCTAGTTTCCACTAGCTGTAGCTAGTGGAAACTAGCTAGAGCTCAGTTTGTGTTGCTAGGTAACGGGGCAGTGCCCGCTGATTTGTGGTTTTTCAAACACCAACAAACTTTAACTCTTTACCATAAACTGGCTGGATGTTTTTAAGAGCATAGTTTTTAACCAAATGGAAACATAAAAACATGTAAAATATGATTTTTTGCGTAAGGGTTCCCCTTTAAATCGGCTCCCTCTGCTGGACAATCTCTGAACTCTCACCAAAGCGCCAACGGCGGCAGAAACGGACCCTCCTCCTGGAGCGGCTGTTCGTGCTCCAACGCTGCGGACAAACTGCTGCACAGTCAGAGACACGAGCCCGCCTTCTTCCTGTGACCTCACCATGTACCTGTCAGGTAAGACACGCCCACATTAGCTGCGCTCGCTGCTCTGCTGCAGGCAGGAGGGATGAACTCACTCTATGATCCTCTGCTTCGGGTTGAAGGGACCCAGAGAATCCAGGCCCAGTTTACTGATCACCTGCAACCAACAAGGTGAGGCTGATCAATGTGTTCTATGGCAAGCTGTTTAACATAAAATCAGTTTTTGTTGGACAATATGTAATTGCATTCTATATATGTAAAAAATGCATTTAGGCAATTCTGAATGTAATTTAAGATTTCAGTAATAATTCAAGATATATTCAATGACATTTTTGATCAATCAAATTTCTTTTGGTTTTGTTATTAAATGTGTCACAGTCCATAATTACAATTTAATATCTGAACCAGAACTATAACTAGTCAAAAACATGAGTTACTGAGTCATTATTTGGTCTCAACATGTCTGCAATTTAAATCTATTTACATATTTTAAATTGTCACCAGTCGGAACAAGCAGCGCAATATCTAAAATTTATTTTATGACTCGTTATAATGTAATTGTAGAAATCTGAAATGTGTTTCAGATACTCAATAATTCATTGTAGAAAATTCTAATTCAAGCATCTGACCTCATTTCTACAAGGCAGAAGATAATTAGATAAACCTTAAAGTGATGTGAAATGTCTGGAATGTGAGTGAGATGAAACTGATTTTATCTTAAAATTGCTTGCCATAGACCAAAGCTTTGTCCACTGACCAGCCGGACTTTGTGCTCCTCTTCGATGATGAAGAGCTGCTCTGTTTCATGTAGAAGTCGGCGGCGTCCAGCAGAGCCTTCAGGGGAATCAGACCGACGATCTGGGATCCGACCACAGGAAGCTTCAGCTCCTGGACGCCACAAACAGGAAGTCAGACTCACAGGAAGTGATGGCGCTCAGGCCTGTTGTGACCTCAGCAGCCCTGACCTCAGCGACCCCCAGATCTCCTGGTACACGGCGTGGAGCGGCGTCAGCTCAAAGTCCAGGATGTTGGTGGACACCTGGGCCAAGTTCTCCTCCTGCAGGTACCAGCCCAGACCCTGGACCTTCTTCAGGAGACCTGGCTGCTCAGAGGCACACAGGAAGTTACCACATCTAGATATGCACACATAGATAAACACATCTAGATATACACACATAGATAAACACATCTAGATATGCACACATAGATAAAAACATCTAGATATGCACACATAGATAAACACATCTAGATATACACACATAGATAAACACATCTAGATATGCACACATAGATAAACACATCTAGATATGCACACATAGATAAACACATCTAGATATACACACATAGATAAACACATCTAGATATGCACACATAGATAAACACATCTAGATATACACACATAGATAAACACATCTAGATATGCACACATAGATAAACACATCTAGATATGCACACATAGATAAACACATAGATATACACACATAGATAAACACATCTAGATATGCACACATAGATAAACACATCTAGATATGCACACATAGATAAACACATCTAGATATGCACACATAGATAAACACATCTAGATATGCACACACAGATATATAAACACGGGAAAAACCTACGACATAAAACCTGATCAAAAATATGAGGCACAAGATTAAAGCTACTGGAGAATTAAATAATATAAAATGATTATCAAACAATTTCTTCTTTCTAATTTGTAAACGTCTCAAATTTACTTGATTTTCCTGAGGAAGCATAAAAAATGACACATTCTGGTTGTGAGATTCAAATCCTCCATCGTAATAACATTTAAAGCAAGAAAAACCCAAAAATAACAGGAAACAGTATGAAGTGGGCTTTTATTCTGAAGTTCCACCTTCAGGAAGTTGCAGTTTTAACTAAAGTAGTAAAAGTTTGTCCCACCTGGTCCTTTCCTCGGCCCTGTTCGCGGACGTCCAGGGCGATCCGATGAGCCTGCTCTTTGGTGCCGATCAGGTTCACGTTGTACGCGATCAGGAACTTGCGAGCTCCGGTTACCGTGGCGCCCCATGATGGTACGAAGAGGGCGGGGCCAAAGTCAGGGGCCCACTCTGCACTCTTCAGCTGCAGCAGAAGAAGAAAGCTGATGGATGTGAGAGTTTGGATCCAGAGGCGGCGCATCGTCTCACCTTGTCAGGTAAAGCTTCGTACTCTCCGGATCGAACTGACGGGAGATTCCTCCTGGACTCGGACCGAGCCGCTTCGCCGTACAGATACACTGAGGACGGATTTGGACATCTGGACATTTGTCTACCATTTTTAACTTCTTATATTTGAACATTTTTGACTTGGACATTTTCAGTTTCAATATTCAAACATTTAAAATTTTATGCTGAAAAATTCCAGATTTCATCTAGAAATTTCAGAGAATAATCTCAAAATTGAGTTTTTTTCTTGTAAATTTATGCATTTTTCAGCACTTTCAGTTCTTTTCTCAGACATTTTTGAAAATCTGAAACTTTATAATGTTTTTTTCTCACAAATTTGGAATTTTTCAAGTTAAGAGATTTTCATGTTTTCTCAAAAATTTCTGAGATGAATCTAACATTGTGAGAACATTTTGGAGTAACTTTCCTCCTAACACTCCGTGGTCTCTCTCTCTCTGTGTGTGTGTGTGTGTGCATGCGTGTGTGTGTGTGCGTGCGTGCGCATGCGTGTGTGTGCGTGCGTGACTCACCAGGAACGTGCAGCGTCTCCGCCAGCTGTCGTCCGAACTCGTTGGCGCAGTGGACGCAGTCGTCCATGCTGACGTTCTGGACGGGGATGAAGGGACAGACGTCCAGCTCCGGTGCGCGGATGTTCCCCTGCAGCAGAAGCACACCGTTCCCAGAGGTTCGGTTCGGTTCTGCAGAGCGGCTTTGGACTCGCACTGACCTGAATGTTTGCTCATATCGATGAGGCCGAAGGCCCGGCGGGCGGCGCTCAGCGCCCCCTGCACCACCGCCTCCGGGGGGCCCACGAAGGTGTAGACGGTCCGGTTGGTGGAGGCCCCGGGTCGACGTCCAGCAGGCTGCAGCCGGCCGTGTCAGAAATGGCGGCGGCGATGGCATCGATCACCTGAGCAGGAGAGCAACAGCTGAACCCAAACGAACCTCAGGCTGCTCACACCGGACCGGCTCAGTCCAGACATTCTTGGCTGGGTCACTTATTATGTTAGCATGTAAAATAACCAAATTTAAAGAAATAATAATAATCATTGAGTTTCTATACGATCTGTAAAGCTGAAATTCGTCCAGAACCTGTCATGTCAGATGGGCTCCTACCTTCTGGTCTCGGCCCTCAGAGAAGTTGGGAACGCACTCCACCAGCTGAGCCATGGCGTCTGCAAAGCCTGACCCAGTCTGACCAGTTCACCCACAGCTCAAACATTAACTGGGACAGAACCACCGGATCCGCTCAGTTTGGAGGCTCGGTGCTGCACCCTGCAGGCCGGGCAGCGTCTGTCCTGCAGGGGGCGCCAGAGATGGAGTCCATCAGGGCTGCATGGTTTAAATGTTTGTGATTCAAACAGAAAGGTCAAAGGTCACCACGTTGATTCCTTTCTATTTGACTGAACCTTATGCTGCCGGAGTTCTGGACCCGCTCCAACCAGAACCGTTACATCAGAACCAGACGCAGAAGCATCTGATAAGTTCTGACCCTGCAGAACTGGGTCAGAATTTATCTCACTGACTGGGTTCAAGTTCAAACTACACTGGTGCCGGGCATTTGAGCAGCACAAAGTTGTGTTTCAGAGATATGAATAAATGTTTCCAGAGGTCATGAAAGGTCAACCTGCCCCCTCAAACACACACACACACACACACACACACACACACACACACACACACACACACACACACACACACACACACACACACACACACCTTCTTCAGATCAAACTGAATTGGTGTAAATCTACGATGCTATATTTGTGCAACAGAAACATTTTACACAAACTACTGATTGATGGTGTGAGGGGCTGGTTGACCTCTGATGACCTCTGGGTATTTTTTTGATTATTGTGAAATGACAGCAGCACAAAGGAAAAACATTGCAGCTCAAATGTGGCACAAACATTTGACTACAGTGTGGTTTAATTTGGGGCGGCTTGTTGACCTTTAACCTTTGATTCATATCTTCAAAACAAAAGCAGCACAAACAAAAATCTCAACAGCACAAACGCAGCACAGATGATGGTCAACAATTTAGTTCCATTTCCTAAAAGTGGGGCATCTGGTTGACCTTTCATAACCTCTGGAAACATTTATTAATATCAGCAGAAATGAACATTTTTGCAGCACAAATGTAGCACAACTTGTATTTCTGAGGTCTACACGCCTCCCGACCCGACCTGCTCCTTTCTCCAGCATGTTCAGCATTTGTGAAACGTTTCGTCTGGATGTGATCGATCAGACTGTAAAGGTGAAAGTTCATCCATCTACATCCCAGAAATCCTGAGACAGGCAGAGTCGTGGTCAGGTTATGGATGACCTGTTTCCTGTTCCTCCTAAATCACCAGGAGTTTTTCCAACTCTTCAGATTCTTTATAGGTGACGAGTAAGGAAGCCACAGAAATCCACCGAACTAAAAACTAAGCTGTGAAAAGGGAAATCATTTATGAAGTTAATCATAAATGATTAGAACTGTAGCTTTGCAGCACTTCTAGGCAACCTTTGACCTGTTTTACAAAACATAGCTGAGTATTTTCTCACCAACACTTCCTCCTGCGCCGCTCAGCTTAAGGCGCCAGACATGAAGCTGTGACATCAGCGTCCTGCAGCATGGAGGCCTGGATCTGCATCGTCGTCACGCTGGGTAAGAAAACCAACTTCTCTCCTGTTTGTGCTGCAGTCAATCTGTAACAGAGTCGCTCAGTGACTCACATTAGCCTTTAACTTTCTGGTCAACTTTCACTGGAATTCTCCCAGATTAGTGAGAATCGTCAGTTTGGCCGTCGGCGTCTTCAGAAACGTCCGCAGAACCTTCAGGCATCATTAGACACTTTATTAGGCTGATAAACTCAGAAGAACTCAGGTTCATTCTCACCGTGTTTATAAATGTTTTATAAAAACTGAATTGCTTGCTCACAAAAATATTTATGGAGCTCAATATTTATCTTGCTAACTAAATAAAATGTTTAGCTGTCTGACTAAATATTGAGTTTGGAGCAAAATGTTCAAATTGGAGCTAAAATTTAAGTTGGTAAATATTTTCATGCCAATTAAATATGTAGTTTGAATTGTGATATTTATAAATGTCTGAATCAAATGGTGACAAAATGACTGAAAATGAAGCTCATGTTTTCCTGCCATTATTTCTGTGTTTTTGTTTGTGTAACTTTCCGAATGGACCTGCTGATCCGTTCGGTTCTGACTCATGTTCTGAAACTGGTTGCAGCCAGTTGTGGCTAACATTGTAGCCGTGAGTGAATTATAATAAACACAACCAAAATCCTGTTTTTAGGCCTTTTTCCTACATGAGCAGACAGTTTCTGAAACCTTGTCACAAGATTCCTGACTTTAGACGCCATTTCTCAGAGTTATGGGGACAATAAAAGTTTATGCTGCTCCAAGAGCCAGATGGTGGTTTTTTTAAAGGTTTAGGAAGCTACTTTAATAAACTTATGAACTGTTTGTTATTTTCCTTTGGAAATAAATCAATTTTTAATTTGATTAGAAGTTTCAACAAACTCTTGGACTTCATTTAACTCAGATTTCCATGAGGCGAATCGAGGTCAGTAGCTGGAAGGTTCTAACTCCCTGCATGACGTTGAGTTCAGTTATTACCTTCAGGTTTATCTCATTAACACAACAAACAATAATCCAGATATTTCCTTCCAGTTGTTCCTGTAGCCAACGCTGTAACAACCACAGCTGGATCTACAGATCCTCCTGCTTCACTTCTGGAGCAAACAGTTTCCACCATGTTGACCGACGATACGACTGGAGCAACACACAGTCCCACTACTACTCCCACTACCACAGCAGAGACCTGGGCTCCTGATATTGATAGAATTATTACAACTACTATTAGTGGTACTCCCACTGCTCCCATTACTTCCACTACTACTCCCATTACTCTCACTCCTATTCCCATTACTACTCCCATTACTTCCACGACTATTCCCATTACTTCCACGACTATTCCCACTACTCCCACTACCACATCCACTACTACTTCCACTACTACTTCCACTACTACTCCCATTACTTCCACTACTACTCCCATTACTTCCACGACTATTCCCATTACTACTCCCATTACTTCCACGACTATTCCCATTACTTCCACGACTATTCCCATTACTACTTCCACTACTACTTCCACTACTACTCCCATTACTTCCACTACTACCCATTACTTCCACTACTACTCCCATTACTTCCACGACTATTCCCATTACTACTCCCATTACTTCCACTACTATTCCCATTACTACTCCCATTACTTCCACAACTATTCCCATTACTACTTCCACTACTACTTCCACTACTACTCCCATTACTTCCACTACTACTCCCATTACTTCCACTACTACTCCCATTACTCTCACTCCTATTCCCATTACTACTCCCATTACTTCCACGACTATTCCCATTACTTCCACGACTATTCCCATTACTTCCACGACTATTCCCATTACTACTTCCACTACTACTTCCACTACTACTCCCATTACTTCCACTACTACTCCCATTACTTCCACGACTATTCCCATTACTACTCCCATTACTTCCACTACTATTCCCATTACTACTTCCACTACTACTTCCACGACTATTCCCATTACTTCCACTACTACTCCCATTACTTCCACGACTATTCCCATTACTTCCACGACTATTCCCACTACTCCCACTACCACATCCACTACTACTTCCACTACTACTTCCACTACTACTTCCACTACCACTTCCACTACTACTTCCACTACTACTCCCATTGCTCCCACTAATCCTACTCTCAATACTCCCATTACTCCCAATACCACTAATATTACTCCCAATACTACTACTCATCCTCCCACTACTCCCACTGCCACCAATCCTCCCACTGCTGCTCCACTGATCTGTGCCAATGGGGAAGAGGAGTACGGGGTCTGTGTGTGTCCTGATGAGTGGACGGGGGAGACATGCTCAGAGGGTAAGGCCTGTTGGAGTCTGTTTCTTGGTGCATGTGGACACAAAAAAGTACTGATAATTGGACATGGAGTCAGAAGGTCAGAGTTCAGATGGATCCAACACAATGGATACAAGTGTCTTACCTGGGCTGGGCAGAACCAGAACCAGACTCCTCATTTTAGATGAAGATGAGAGACACCAGAACCAACGATGAAGGAGTTGAGATCTGGACCTGGGAGGTCTCCTGTCGAGGTTTGGGGGACGGACAGTCCTCACAGAGCCTCTTCAGTCAGAAGGAGTTTTATTTATTTTGGGGCGCTCACCCCAGATAAGACATGGGAGTTTTAAAAATAATTCAATTTCCCATCAACACCAACATTTCCCCTCATTTCTTGCTACTTCTGGTACTTCAGAGGAAACTCATCTTCTTTGACATCTTTTTACAGAAAATTTCTGCAATGAAACAACTTTAGGGAAATTCAGATTTCCAAGGACAGCCATTGGTTGGTTTGCGTACTCAGAGGAAGAATGTGACAAACATACAGTTGGAGGTAACATCCACAGATTAGTCGGACCTCAGTCTTCTTCTTCCTGCATCATTTTAAATCCAAACATGTCCTCAGCTGGAAAGCCCCAGGCTTCGACCAGATGTCTGGTCAGGGATGGAAAACCTCAGTTTGAGAACCCACCGCGAGTCCTTCAATGTGAACAGACGCTCAGCGACATTCAAAGAAACGTGAGAATATCAGCATAACCAGTCTGATGAGAGGAACTGAAGATTTCATCATGAAGTTTGTTTTGTCCGTCAGCTCACCAGTTCTGCAGACTTGGAGGTTCTGGCGTCCAGCGCTCAGCTTCTGACGTCCAGACCTGCAGATCTGAAACCTGAAGACGTCACCATAGCAGCTCAGATTGCCAACACGCTGCTGCTGTCGCCAAATGCCTCAGAGGTAGGAAATTCTGATGGTAGGACATCAGCCAGTGAACGTGGCTTCATACCGCGGGAAGGAGCCACTGACCCGGTCCTGACTCTAAAGTTCTGGTTCGTGTTTCCAGACCGTCAGGGTGGCAGCGGTTGCTACCGTCAGTCAGCTGCTCAAAGCCACGGAGTCCGATGAGAAGAAGGAAACCAACACGTCTCAAAGGTAGGCAGACATCGATTCTGTACTTCCTACTGGGTCAGAACAACGGGTCCGCCGCTCCGACCGCATCTCCGATACTCTGAGGTTTAGAATTGGTTTGGTCCCAACGGGCCTGGAGAGTGACCAGTGAAACCACTATGACCATTTAAAACTGAGCCAGAACCTGGATGGTCTTTGGTGGTTCGGTGTGGACTGTCTACATGTTCCAGAGGCTCTGAACATGAACAAACTTGATGACTGACAGAAACATGAGAACTTGTGTGAAACAGTCCAAAGAAAGCAGAACTAAAACCTTCAGGCATCAGAACCTCGGTCCAGTTGGCAGGAAGGTGAACATGTTTGAGTCAGAGCTGCTGTGCTCCCAAACATCTGATGGCCTGACATCTTTAATGTTTGATTCGTTTCTCATGCTCAGCTTGACGTTGACCCTGGATCAGCTCTCTGTGAACCTCAGCCTGACCAGCAACTCGTCCCAGCTGGTCCAACCCAACCTGGTGGTCCAGTCGGCTCAGATTCCAGCATCGGACACCCAGGGAGTCCAGTTCACCGCCTTGGCAGGTCAGTGGGTCGCTGCATCCCAACAATGGAGCCTGGAGCTTTAGTGATTCTGGTTCGGGTGCAGAAATGTTGGATTCCCTCTGGTTTTTATGAACTACTAACCCACTGAAACTTCTCGTGGTCTTCAGGGCAGTCTGGCAGTTTTGTAGCCAACAGAATTCGGTTGAACACCAACGTGTCAAAGGTCACCGTGGACCAGGGTTTTATTGCTGACGCTCTGGTTTACATCCGCTTCCCATCAGGTGGGTTCCCTGCAACAGAGAACATGTGACTTCCTGTTAGCAACAGCTGACCCTCGATTTGTTCCTCCACCTCCAGGCAGCAGGGCGGAAAGGCGCCAGCAGGGGTCCAACGTCTCTCTGGGCTTCGTCCTCTACCAGAACAGCCGCTTCTTCCCGTCGAGGACCTACAGGCGGCGGCGGGCCAGCCTCAGGGTCCTGTCAGCCAGCATTGGGGGTCCAGACCGCAGCATCGTGGCGGAGACTGTGGAGATGCAGTTCCGAGTAACGGTACGAAAACCAAAACCAGTTCATCACCTTTACTGGATTTACTGGGATCATCAGATGTGAAGAAGGTTCTGGTTCCTGCTGTTCCAGCTGCCGAATAAAACATCTCTGCACGACTTCTCCTGCGTCTTCTGGGACTACGGCAAGGTGGACTGGAACACCTACGGCTGCCACAAGGGGAACTCTTCAGACGGAGTTCTCAGATGTTCCTGCAACCACACCACCAACTTCGCAGCTCTCTGGGTGATTTACACTCTCCAGAACCAGAACAGTTCAGCGTTTCTTCCAGGATTTAAGGTTCTGAACAGATTCCTTTCAGTCTTTCAGAGAGAACTATGAGTACACAGAAGCCCTGGGTGTGCTCTCCATCGTGGGTCTGTCTTTCTCCATCCTGGGCTTGGTTATCACCATCATCCACCTCCTGAAAGAGACGTAAGACCATGCTAGCTGGCTGCTTCAGTTCAGTGGCTCTTTGGTTAACGAACAGCTTTAACGCTGCTCTAGCATGAGGAAACCATAACAGATGTTTCCAGATGTTCTCCCACTAAAGACAAAACCTTCAGGCTGTAGATGGTGGCAGAGACCATTGGTGTGATAAAAAGCTAGCTCCGCTAATCCTGCAACAAATAATCATAAACGTTATTTTGGGAAACTAAAGTGCTGCACCAACATGATAATTAGCAAAGGCTAGGCTAAAGAAGAACAGTTGCTAACCAAAACTTCAACACAGATGCCAAACTTCATTCAACTGAAACGTCACAAACCAGTTAACTAAATTAGGGTTTTAGTCTTAATCAGGAAAAATTATTTAGTTGAATTTTGGCACCAATTTTGGATAAAAGCTAAATCTAAGCTCTGCTGATCCTCACATTAAAGCCCAGATGACCTGAAACCAAATGTTCTGCCTCAGAAAGCTGAATGTGAATTGACTCTTTGTCATGTTTTACTTCACGTTGTTCTGTCACATCAAAGCTTCATGAGGAACATTTAGTCGGTTTGTGGTTTAGTTGGTTTTCAGGAAACATTTTGAAAACCAGTTGATCCTAAATTCTTGTTTCTGCTCAGTTTTCACATGAAATCTGGTCCGAAACGAACCAAGCTGACCTCCAAGACGACTCTGCTCTGCATCTGCTTCAGCCTGCTGGCCTTCATCATCACCTTCCTGTCTGGGGTCCAGAACTCCGGACCGGATGTCGGTTCCGAGGATTCGCCCAGCGATCAGAACCGGATCCTGGACTCTGACCTGCATGTGGAGCCGGACCGCGGCTCCTGCACGGCCGTGGCGGCGCTTCTGCACTTCTTCCTGCTGGCCACCTTCTCCTGGAACAGTTTGTACGGAACCCAGGTGGTTCTGCTGGTCCGATCCATGCAGCGCAGCCTGCCCTCGTACTGGACCCAACTCAGCTGGGGGGTCGGATGGGTACGACACTTCAGATGCCAAACACCTCAACTTTGTTCAAAACATGCAGAAACTGTCTGCAGAAATAAACAAAACAAACATTGATTGATTACAGAATAAATATCTGACCAGAACCAGAACCCTGACCCGGTTTTGCTTCATTTTGTTGTTTCTGGTCAGGAGTCCCGGCCGTTGTGATGGCGATCACCCTGGCAACGACCTACCGGGTGGAGAACCCGCTGGCATACAGACAGGAGGAGTTGTGAGTCCTGGTTTGAATGGGTTCTGGTTCTGGTTCTGTTCACTGACCACCTGGATGTTTCTGCAGCTGCTGGCTCGCTGCTCTGGACCTGAACAACCACTTCAGCTTGGGGAAGCCCATGTTCTGGGCCTTCATAGTGCCGCTGGGCCTGGTTCTGCTCTACAACGCGGTTCTGCTGGGCCTCATCTCCCTCACCACCTGCAGGGTGGATCGAAGGCTCACCAGGTGACTATCGCCCCCTGCTGGACACTGTGAGCAGAGCAGCAAAACAAAAGGGAAAACAATTCATTATGACATCACATCTAAAAATAAACCAGAAAATTAAACATATTTTTAGTTTCAATAACATTAACTATAAATCATGTGATTGAGGAAAACCTTTGGATACATTTTCTTTTTCATACTATTAACAAAATATGTCAATAATAATCTTTTTGTTTATTACTGTTAATTATGTGTTTTAGTTTATTACTGAACAATATAAATATATTTCATTGAGTAAATGTTTCAACAAGGTAAAAATATTAAGAGAGAAAAACATGAATTAAGCTTCAAATATGAGTTTTTAAAACATTTTGTGATTTCAGACATAAAACTAATAAATTGTATTTTTTCATCTTAAACTTTTAATATTTATGATAACAGGAAGTTATAAAGTAGCTGCAGATCTAAATAATTTCTCCAGAGATTCATTATCCAGATGTGTCAGTGACTGTCTGGTCATAATGTTGTGCCTGATCTCTCTGGTTCTGGTTCTGTGGACCCGGCAGCACCAAGCGCTCCCCCCTGGCCCAGAAGTTCCTGATCAGTTTCTCTCTGGCGGTTCTGCTCGGTCTGTCCTGGACTCTGGGCTACCTGGTCCTGGTTACCATGGGAACCGCTCACCTGGCCTGCAGCATCCTGTTCTGTCTGTGTACCACCACCCAGGTAGGGTCCAGTCCAGGTCCAGTCCGGGTCCGGTCCGGGTCCGGTCCGGGTCCGGTCCGGGTCCGGGTCTGCTGCGACCCGGCCGGACCCGGTAACGATCCGCTGTGTCTCTGCAGGGCCTGCAGATCTTCATCCTGTTCACGGCCAGAACCAGAAGCTTCCGGTCGCAGCGGCCCGTCCCGCTCGCTACGTCTCCGCCGCCGGGTACAACCCTCAGGTCCACAACGTACCACCTGTGGAAGAACCGGGCCGAAACCAGAACCTCAGACATGTACAAGAACACAAGAAACCAGGAAACCAGCATCTAGAACCAGGAACCGGGCCAGAACCGGCATCTGGAACCAGGAACCGGACAGAACCGGCATGTAGAACCCAGCCGGTACCGCTCCAGTGGTTGATCAGAGATGTTTGTACTTTTTATTTTCTATTCTTCAGTTTTATGAAATCAATATTATTGATGAATTATTGAACATGAATAATTCCTGATCAGTTTGGATATTTAATCTGGTTCTGATCCAGTTTGTCTTGTTTTATTGGTTCTGAACTTTATAATGTTTTTATAGAAACTCAGATTTTTATATTTTATTGTTTTTAATCATCTGAACCATTAAAAATGTTCTCAGTTCTCCACTGTGGTTCTGTTGGGTCCGGTTCTGTAGAACCCAGTCTTGGTGGTTCTGAATGGTTCCAGTGGGGGGCGCCAGATCTCCACCGCCACACAGTGAAGGTTCTGTTGGTTCTGAACATCCCAGATGAAATAAACTCCATGAACTGGGTTCTGTGGAGGACGGGCTGAATAGAACCATCCGTCAGGAGACTCCGGACCGGCCGAGGGATTCCCGCTGAGTCAGAACCAGAACCAACAGCAACTGGTCCAGAATCACCTCAGAACCGAGCTGAGAGACGACCCAAACAGAGGAACTGGATGAGTCCAAACCCGGACGGCTCAGCTGCTAATGATGAACAGAACCGGTCCAGACGTGACCAGAACCTGTCTCGGGACCGACCCGATGTCAGAATCTGGACCTGGTTCTGTTGGTTCAGGTCGGTCACGTCCAGCCCTGTAGCTCCGCCCCCTCATGTTACACTCAGGAACCGGTCCGGGTCGTTACGCAACCGCCCAGAACCCTGTGGTCCAAATGAAACAGAACCCACTGAACATGTGGTTCTGATGAGTTTACCAAACACCTGAAGTTCCAACGTGTTCTGTTGTTACATAACCGGGCCGCCGCAGGCCCGTTTCATTCCTCTGTGTGGGCGTGCAGCCGGGCCGGGCCGGACCGGGTGGGACCGTCTGGTTCTGATCTAACTGAACAATGAGAGGGACAAGAGTGGACCTGACTGGAAACACATGTGGAGCTGGGCCTGTGGTTCTGCTGGGGGCGGACCCGTTTGGTTCTGAAGAATCTGATACATTTTATGGCAAGTAGTCGACGAAGAGGAGGATGAAGACGAGGATGAAGAGGAGGAGGAAGAGGAGGAGGAAGAGGAGGGACAGAAACGTCTGTCCTCTGGGTCAGAAAGGTTCCCAGGAAGTTCCTCAAGGGACCGTTATTGATGTTGCACAATGCGGTTCTGGTCAACGCGGTTCTGGTCAATGTGGTTCTGGTCGACGACCTGAAGGGTTGGAGGTTTGAGTCCTTCAACCCTTCAGGTGAACGGATCAGAACCGGATCAGGACCAGAGGAGAGAAAGTTCCACCAAACTGAACAGTTTTACACCAAAACCAAAGAACCTGACAGTTTGGACCGAACCGGGTCACTGTGACCTCAACACCCAGAACATCATCACACAGACCGACCAGTGGGTCAGAACCAAACTGGGACTGATCCAGTTGGAACTGGGATCTGGTCCTGGTGTTCAGACCAAACACTGGGATTCGCAGACTTACGAGTCAAACCAGAGTCTCTGTGGACGGACCAATGAGGGAGCGGGACCAGCGTTGCCATTGGTTACCATCAGGTCCAGTGACGAGCATCTGGAGAAGCTTCAGCTCAGGTTCCACTTCCTGTTCTTCATCCTCCGGAGGAAGAATGAGGCGTTTGGTACCAGGGTTCAGCTAAAGCTCTGCTGTGGAAGCAAAGCCCAAACTGTGGTTCCCCCCGCCGTTTGGTCCCCCCGCCGTTTGGTTCCCCCGCCGTTTGGTTCCCCTGCCGTTTGGTTCCCCCCGCCGTTTGGTTCCCCAAACAGCCGAAATCCTCCCAGTGACCCCGTGTGAACGGCTCTCTGCAGGAGGGCTTCGGCACATTTTCCCACATTCACACCCAAGATCCTCAGATTCCCTCCAAGGCCTCGCTGGAACATCCCGGCCCGATTCCTCAGGCTCCATAAACCCAGATTATCTGCAGAAAACCACAGGCAGAAAGAAATAACACTTGTGTGACTTTACGGCTGAAAACAGGTGGAACGTTCCTGTGTGGTGAGATCCAGGCCTCCCTCTCTCTCTCCCTCCAGTTGGGTTCAGTGGACGAGTTAACGTCCATCTTCATCAGGATGACTCCGTCCCGTTGATGGGAGCCGCTGAGCCTCTTTGCCTCATGTGATGTCAGCGGCTCAGCGGCTGATTCCCGCCGCGCCGCGCTTCCTGTCAGCACCTGAACCTTGCTCACACATTCCTGCTTCCATCCCAACAGGAAGTGGAAGCGGCCGCAGCGTTTCCTCTGATCAGCTGCAGTTCGTCTTCATTACGACGTGTCGCTGCAGCGCCAGCGGTTTCCTCCGCCTGCCGTCCAACTAAAACATGTCATCCATCTTCATTGTGCTGGAATCGGAGCCGCAGATGAAGCTCCATTCATCACAGCGTTACTAATTCAGCTCAACACAGACGGACTGAAAAACACGGAATATCATTTCTGCTGGAAAACCTCAGAGATGAGTCACTTTTCTGGAGGTTAACGTCTCATTTAAATCAATAATTCAAGTTTTACTGACAAGAAAAAAGTTAACCTGAACTTTTCCATCATATTATGATATATTTCAAACCAAAAAGTTTTGTTTTGGACAGAGATATTTGCAATAGAAGCTAAAACTAAATGACTTTGTAAGATTTTGTGTTTTTAGTGAAATCCTAAAAAAAGCTGAAAATCTGCCATGATGGTTCAGGAAGTCAGACATGTCTCAGTTTTCTTTCTACCGTAAATATCATCATCTATAATCTATAAGCATCACTTCCTCCCAGTCGGCCATCTCTGTTTCCTCTCAACTCGTTTTTAGTGATTTAGGAGATTTAACTCGGATGTAAACAGCCGAATCGTCATGGACGCAGCTGATCTGTTAAACTTTCTGATTCTCTGCAGCAGAAACTCTGGAATCGATGATCCGGTTTCTCTGCAGAATCAGGAATGAAAGAATTGTTGGATTTCAGTTCAGATCCTGGTTTTCAGTTGTTTTCTCTCGTTTCCTCTGGGAATCTGCTGACGTTCTCTGAGCAGCAGCACGTTTCTGTTTTGGCTCCAGCTGTAGAAAACATTTCACCATAAACTGCTCTGGTTTCGCTCCAGACTCTGAACCGTCAGGCTGCGACTCGCAGGGATTTTCCTGCCTAAATGAAAAGCAGAGCTGCGGCTCATCGTTCCTCATTAAAGCTGTTCGGGGGGTTGGGGGCCCGTGTGGCCCTGTGTGACCCTGTGTGACCCTGCGTGGCCCTGTGTGGCCCTCTGTGGGCCTGTGTGGGCCCGTGTGGGCCCGTGTGGCCCCGCGGGACACCGGAAAGCCAATTTCATTTTAAAAGCTCCTTTTGAACCAATTCCTCACCAGCTCGTCCTGCAGAACAAGCCGAGGGACGGAGATGTTTGGCCTCATGAGGTCAGCGCTGCCTGTTTACAGCACAGCAACCCAAACAGTCCAGCAGGCCCGGTTTCATCCTCACAGATGTTCTGGAAAATCCTCCTGAAGCTCCGGATCGGATCGTCCTGCTGGGAGTTTGTTCTGCCGTCTGTTTCTGCAATCAGGTGTGGGTCGGAGCGGCGCTGCGGGGTTCGGTTGTTAGGAAAGTTTGAGCAAAAACGACATGAAAATAAATAGAGAAAAAGGAACAATGGCGCAGAGCAGTTTACTGAGAAAACATCCAAATGTGTTTTACTGTCAGACTCTTTACTGCTAAAGTCTTTACAGATGTGAAGAAAAATGAAGTCAAGTTAATTTTCACAGCAGAAAATCAAAGAGCTTCAGATCCTAAAACTTCATCCAGCAGCAATTAAGGAGCAAATAATAAACATTTCATTTCACCATCTAGGAAATGAAATATGTTGATGAAACATTCATCCCGTCGGTTTTTAATGTTTGTACTTTGTTTTCTATAGATCTACGTCACACAGATACTAAATCTCTTTTTGGTTGTTCTAATAAATGTTTTTACAGTTTCTGTAAAATGATGATTGTCCAGTTTTTACATTTCAAAAGTGATCTGTTCAACAAAAGAAATACTTCCAAGTACACAACCATACATCTTTGAGAAGCAGAAGTGGAGCCTCCTGCACAACCAACAAGAACACAGCAAGTAATTCTGGATGATTAGTGGACAACAGAGCTCTTGTCTTTTTCAGCAGCCATTGTACAACGTGTTTGACCTTAGCTGTGGTTGCCAGGTGACAGTATGGCGTTTGCTATTGTTGCTAGGTAACGCGCAGTGCCTGCTGATTTGTGACGTTACATTCTGGTTTTTTTAAACGGCTCGTTTTCCAGACATCAAAAACACATGAAAGCACTGCCAGAAACCGTCCGGTGGGATTTTAAGAGGTAGAATCCAAAATGCAGGAAGAAAAACATGTTTCAGCACCAGAGTTACAGTCAGGATGAGCCTCAAGCTGCATCCAAGGAATCTGGACTGGGACCGATCCACAGAGGATCCTTCAGAACCGAGACTGTCAGAAACAGTTCTGCCTGATCCGGGTCATCAGCCTCCATCAGAGCTTTACAGCAGATATGATCCCATCTCTGCAGGTCGACCTTCAGCAGATCAGATCAAGAGCCGACCAAGAACACCAAACTGAAAACAGACTGAAGAAGACCAGAACAAATCAAGCGAGTTCCACCTCCAGCCATCTGGACCCAGGAACTCCATGTATGTATCGATAAGAGAGTGTGTGTCCCCAACCTTCAGTACTCCTCCGTTATCCCCTTTTTAACAACTGGTGGCTCGGTTCTGTTGAAGGATTCAGACTCAATTAATCTGTCTCAGCGATGAAACCCCAGAGTTCTGCGTATTTTAGTGCATAATAGGCCCTAAAAGCAACACACAGCTGGTGTTTTATGAGTCTCAAAGGGCCCAGAGACATAAAAGTGCTCTTAAAATGTGGCTTTAGATCCA